TTTACATTTGCTGTTAACCGGTAATAGATATAATATGTAAACGGATACCAGTTGCAAAAAGAAAGATCGCCGCTGATCGGCTTTAATACGAGTGATCTAACGAGATCACTCGTATTAAAGCCGAGCAGCGGCGATCGAGTTCAGCAGCAGGAGCAGTGGCTCCTACTACTACGCCTGGCGCCCGAAACTGCATGTCTCGGGCGTCGGGATTCGCTCCATAAGACGCAGGCACTTTTTCCCCCTCCTTTTGGGGGGAAAAAAGTGCGTCTTATGGAGCGAAAAATACGGTATTTTACATTCGTTTAAAAAATATAGCTGACCATTGGGTCAATTCACAAAGACAAACGTTATTTGCTCCCTCTTGTTGTCCATTTACATCTCCTTATTTTTTGTTTGAAAACATGGTATTCACGAAAGTCCCAATCGTTTATTTAGCATGCTCGTTAAGGCTTCCGACTGAAACGCTAGGGAGTTGTTATTTTTACGTGTTTGACGTTTTTTTTCGCAAATTAAGCGTTATTTTTACGCCTTGAATTGTAGAATTAAAATTTAAACTTTTAAAATACGTTTGACTGATGCATTCTGGGATCAAACGGGGAGGAGAACAGTGCCTTCAAATGACGTATTTTCACCAGACTCTGCACTGTTGTATGTAAACAACTTTATTGAAACTGTTGAAGTTTACATGTCACTTGTTTGCAAAATACATCCCCACATCAAAAAAATAATAATAAAAGCAATAAAATAATAATAAATATAACACACTGTCTATTAATTACAGTAATAAAATCTAATAAAACACAGGCAAACGGTTCCATCTTCCAAAAACTGCAAAAAAAAGAGGCTTCACTACCAGAAGTTATCAATTCACCTCACAAATCTCCCTCTCAGTACAGAAAATACCACCCGAGAACTGTCATAACAACACTCTGAATGAGGTGCTTATGTAACGATTGTCTGACGGTCGATAAATGGGCCAAAAATCTTTGTGAATTGCACTTCTGTACATATTTAACGATTAGGCTTGTTAAAATAAGGATTGAAACGTTAAATAACAAGCTTCACGATAAGATATCACTTCGGAGAAGAGAGACGTCATTTGGTGGACTTTCCAAGTGTTAAATCGTCTGGTGAATTGCACAAGCTTAAATATCATGCGATATCTTTTAAATAATGAGCGAAATCAGGAAAAAAAACTTTGTGAATTGACTCCCATGTAGGTTTGTTACAAGGGTGAGAGGACTCATTCCGCAGTTATTATTAGTATAAGTTCCATGTGGAGGTTTATTATCTCAAATTCCCACAACTCCTGAAATCAATTGTTTCAGCTTCCCATTTGCCTTTTAAAGTAACTATCAGTGGGTTGAAAGAATGCCCCAACATTGCCATTGACCGTGGGATGAAAGATTCCCCCAATGTTAGCATTGTCAGTGGAAGAAAAAGATGTCCCAACATTGGGGGTGTCAGTTGGAGGAAAAGATGCCCCAATGTTGGTGGTGTCAGTAAGAGGAACTACTATGCCAGCAACAGTGTAGTTATTGAGAGAGAAGGAGGTCCCAGCGTTGGTGGGATGAAAGGATGTCTAGTATCACTGGAAAGAAAGAACGTCCCAGCATTGGTGGTGTTGCCATCTGAGGAGCATGCTGTATGTCCTGAACCACTGCTTCCGACTATGCTTATAACATCGGTGCTGGAACCATTGGACTGGGGAACACTTTGCCCCAGACAGCCTGCTTAGAACTCCTGCAACTCACTGCCACTTTGCGTACAGGAACCCCAAGTTGTGTGTGGTCTTTCGCCCTATACTGTAGCCTCTGACATGAAAGTAGACATTTTTTCATATCCTTGTTAGCACTGTTAAAAACACTGTCTTGCATCTGCTTCTGTTAGGGAGATGTTCACAGGCTTGTAATAATCAGTAATCTCAGTCCCTACTAGCTGTAGTTGGAAATGTCATTTACATGCAATAACACTTTAATCCCTTAATTTAAAGATTAAAAGCATTGAGCAGAGCAAAATCTAGCTTTCAAGGAGCTTGGATCATTGATGATCCTTTGCTGCTGCTAATTTCCACTCTATACTCTATGGATGTATTATGCTGCTCATCTCAGCATGTAAATGGAGGAGATTGATTATTTAGCAGATGTTTCCTTCTGGAAGGTATACTCTTGTTACTACAAAATAGTTTTGACATATTATTTCTAAAAATTTCACTTTTTAGCACCTGGTCAACGTAGACATTATTTCCAGTGTTATTGTAATTCAGCATGCACTACAGTTTTGAGTCTACATTTGCTTCAGAGGATGAGAGGAACTCATGCCCTAGGATCCAATGTGAAGGTTGTGCATGAGTGTCCAGTGCTAGATCTTGCCTCTGAACCATACTGTAAAAAAGTGGTGGATGGTTAGAACTTCTGCCACATGTATAAAGCTGCCTGCGATTGCAGTAAAATAATGCCAGTGTAAGTGGCTAAACACTGCCTTCATAACATTTTCCCAAAATATGCAGCTGAAGGAAAAGTGTAAAGGGAATGCAATTCGAGCAAGTCAGACTCTCTTAATTTGCACAGTTCTGCCAGTCCAATCTGCAGGATTTGGCCTAAAACAGGGGTCTCAAACTCAATTCCCTCGAGGGCCACTCAACACATTTTTTTCTCCAATGGGGACCGCTTGCCAAATTTCATACTTTAAAATACAATTTAACTATATGCAATATGGTACTACGGACCCCAATACACACACAATAAGGCCCCATTCATATCTATAGGTTTAGGTGCGATTAGGGAATCCTGTGTCAGAAACTTGCGTTCTCCTGCAGCAGGAATCCCTAATCTGGCATTTACAAGCGGCCACTGTCACCCATTCAAGTTAAAGGAGAATTATGACCTCAGGGCAAAGAAAAATACTCCTTACCTTTATTATATTAGCATTCTTCCTTTTTTCTGAAGTCACAGCACATCACAGATAAAGTAATCAAAACCCACAGGAAACGGCCACCTCCAGCCATGCTCCAAGCTCCTTTCCTCTTAGGGGGCGTTAACAGTTGATCCAGCCCGCCCTCACCTTTTTTTTTCAAATTCTCCTGCTGTGGCCGCGCTTCCTCTCATTGTGCACAGCTGTGTTTTGTCAGAGCGTGCACGCTGGCATTTGGGAGCGGGAGGCGGAGTCTCAAGTGAAAATGCAGCAGCAATAGATGGTTAGAGGTGAACTGCTGACTCCTCCCTGCACTTTCAGTGCTCTTTCCCTTATCTCATCTGTGATTTGGATGTCAGCATGACACAGGGCAAGGGTAGAGAGAGAGGGGAAAGAGCCCTCTCTCTCTCTCTTCATCATTTACCACATATGAGCATGTCCATATATGGTAAATTATCATGTCACTGGGGATCCCTGCTGATCGGATGCTTGCCAGTCTGCAGGGATCCCCAGTGACATAATTCACCATATATGGACTTGCCCATAGGTGGTAAATGATGAAGAGAGGCTCCTTCCCCTCTCTCTCCCTGCCCTTGTCACGCTGACATCCTAGAATCACTGGGGATCGCTGAAGAGAGAGGGGAAAGAGGGCTCTCTCTTCAGCATTTACCACATATGAGCAAGTCCATATATGGTGAATGATGTCACTGGAGATCCCTGCAGACTGGCAAGCATTCGATCAGCAGGGATAAAAATAAATGTTCCCCCGGCCCCCCCTCCCACATATAACATAATATAATTCCCAGTCCCTCCCCCTCCCACATATAACATAATATAATTCCCAGTCCCTTCCACATATAACATAATATAATTCCCAGTCGTGGAGTGCCGGCACAGAAGCAGCTATGCGGTCTGCATCCGTGTAGCTGCTCCCGCAGGTCTGGTACACGGTCCGTGACCGCGTACAAGACCTGTGAGCTGGCTGCGGGCCACATAGTACCGGCTCGCCACTGGCCTAAAAAAACTGCATTCAAAGTGAATCAAAATTGCACTTCAATCCAGTTGCTTTATTGAGTATTGGATTGAACAGATGACCACCATGACATGGTTTCCGGTAGTGGGATTTAAAGTGGAGGTGTTAAAGGTGTTTAAGAGTCTGGTTGGGAATTACAGGGGGGGCCACACTTTTTCTTTCATGTTTTTTGGGGGTGGTGTTCCACCTAAAATTTCTACCAGACCTAAAGGGCCTGGTATGACTTTCCAGGGAAACCCACGCACTCTTTTTTTTAAACTTGGGGTCCCTCCTAGCTTTCCTACCAGACCAAAAGGGTCTGGTATGGATTGGGAGGGGGACCCCGCACCATTTAAAAAAGAAATGTGTTTACATTTGCTTGGAGAACGGTTCTCCCCACTTTGGCTGTGCATATGCGTTTGGCTTGGCTGAGCTGTTTGGCTGCTGTACGGGCTATTGTGAATTTGTTTTAACATTTTACATTATTTGGTTTACAATAGTTTGTGCTATTTATTTGTTTGCTCTTTAATAATGCATTATAGAACTATGTACAAATGTATCTTGTTAACATCATGATGTCCGTCTTCTAGGAAGTAGTGATGTATCCTGGCCTACTGTGTGTGTGACCTACAATTGCGGAGGTTTTAGCCTTCTGTGCTTCGTGTTGTCGGTCTTGATATCTCCAGTTGCACTTTTATTAATGAAGCAGGAGTACAGCTGTTATCATTTCAACAAAAAGCACTATTGGCACTTCACTTAGCTCAGTATTGATGCCAAGTGCCTAATCAGCTGCATATGAAGGACTGCCAAGAAACTGACACTGCGAATATTTAGCAAAGAGGCTTAAACTTTACATCTTGACATGTGGGTTGAATTTACTCCTTTCCAACTGCAGATGACTGTCTAGTGAAGCTTCTTCGTGTTATCTTCTAAACATCCACAAAACACGGCTGTTCTTTATCTCTGCCAAGTGCCCTTACCCTTTTTCTTACCCTTTATTTCTGTATTTTACAATGAAAGATAATAAAGTGAGTTTCATTTTGTTTCTAATTGTATTTATTTTTTTATCTTTCAGGAAGAAATCATTTCTATTTTCTGCATTGTATGCTGCCTTTATATTTGGTGGTCGGCACCTAATGAAGCAACGGGAAAAGTTTGAGCTAAGAAAACCACTAGTTCTATGGTCTCTCAGCCTTGCAGTGTTCAGGTAGAAAAAAGCCAAAGAATATATCACTTGAATTCTAATTGGTTGGGTGAGGGATGTCACTGAGGTCCTGGAAAACACAGAACACATTGGTCATCATCTTTAAAAACCACTTGCAGACTGCAAACCGTGCAAACAGCCAAAAATCATTACTGTCCCAGTATCACTCTTCCTTCTTCTCTTCCCTGCCAGCCCCTGCTTGTATTTCATCAACCCCATTCGTTCATCTTTACTTTGCCATCTAACATGAACTTTGCTGCTATTGCATTTAGAAAATATCCCAGTTTTACTAAACTTTAAATTTGACTGGTTCTCTTGGGCCCCAACATCCATAATACCATGGATACACAGGCCTGATAAGAGATCTTGCAGTCCAATATGTGCGGTGGCAGAAGTGGTGTCAAAGGGATTACAGCCAGAGTTCAATGAAAATAAATGTGTTTAAGGTCTCATTCACACAGACATGCACACGATACAATTTGCATGTCCATGTGGAAACATACTGTATATATACATACCCTGTTTCCCCGAAAATAAGACCTACCCCGAAAATAAAACCTAGTACTATTTTTGGGAATTGCTAAAAATATAAGACCTACCCTGAAAATAGAGCCGCAGGAGAGGCAGGAGAGAATCAGCGTTGCCAACGAAGTCAGCTCTAGAGGAGACGAGGCAGCACCGGAGGGAGCAGAGCCACATAAGCTAATGCCTCCTCTATAGCGCCGGCTCCTGTCACAGGCGAAGTGATACCAAATGCACTCTGCCTGTGAGGAATCGATAGTGAAAGCGCACTTCGCTCATTCTGGCCAGCGATTTGGTTAGCAAATTGCTCTTGGAAAGGTACGGCACCCCTGATTGCCCTGATCACCATATTTTTGTACATGAATACATGTAGACTGTTGTACATGAATAAGTGTGGATTGTTGTACATTTAAAAAAATCAGACCTACCCGAAAATAAGACCTAGTGTGTTTTTTTGAGCCCCAAAAAATATAAGACAGTGTCTTATTTTCGGGGAAACACGGTATATACATATGGGCGTAGTGGTTAGCGCTTCTGCCTTGCAGCACTGAGGGTTCCTGGTTTGAATCCAGGCCAGGACACTATCTGCAAGGAGGTTATGTTCTCCCTGTGCTTGCATGAGTTTCTTCCTGGTACTCCGGTTTCCTCCCACACTCCAAAGACATGCTGGAAGGTTAATTTGCTCCTTTCTAAATTAGCCCTTATATGCATATAAGATAGGGACCTTAGATAGCTCCTTGAGGGCAGGCAGTGATATGAATGTGCATGTAAAGCACTGTGTAAATTGTCAGCGCTACATAAATACCTGTAATAAATGTAAAAAAAATATACACACACAGGAACTATGGGGTCTATTAACTAAGCTGCCGAAGGATCTAGCCGTAACTTTGGCTGATTGGAGCCGTTGGCTACTGTCAGAATTTAAAAAAAAGAAAAATCACCATAGGAATGCATAGCTAGATTCCTATTGGCTATTTCAATTTGCAATAGCCAATAGCAAACTAGCTATTGCACCCGCCCACTGCTGCTGTCAATCAGCAGAGGGGGACCTGCATTTCTCCATCAGGCCCCCCTCTGGTGATTGACAGCAGCAGAGGGCGGGTGCAATAGCTTGTTTGCTATTGCAAAGTGAAATAGCCAATAGAAATCTAGCTATGCATTCCTATGGTGATTTTTTTTAAAATATTCTGATGGCAGCAGAACCGCCCGGCTGAGTTGGGCTGAGCTAGCTGTCACTGCTAGCTCCGCCCAATCTTTTTCTATTTTATTTTTTAACTGTTTTTCTATTCTGCTCGGTACCACAGAGGTACCGAGCATAACAGCCGAGACGAATGCAGCTCGGCGGCATTTGGCTATTCACTCACTGCTGTTCGGCATCTATGAGAATAGGCCGAACAGCAGCGAGTAGCCTGCCGGAGGTTCGGCTGAGTCAAACTCCTTCTGCACTTCGGGTCGGCCAAACATGCTCCCCAAAGCCAGCCGAACCCACCCGATGTACGGCTGATTTCAGCCGATATACGGCTGGAATCAGCCATACCAGCCTGAAGTGAATAGCCGAACGGTGTTCGGATCACTTTGCTTCAGGTCGATTAGTCACTCGGCTGCTTACGGCAGCTTAGTGAATAGAACCCTATATGAACAAAAGTATGTAGACACCCGTCCAAATAAATGATTACGTTTAGTTGTTTCCAGTAAAGGATACTTTTAAAGCTGAATTATAGGCAAGAAGATGAAATACATATAGGGACGCTAATTTTCTTGCCTAAGTATTTCATGCTTTTTCTGTTTGTCTAACTGCAGCCAATACGGGGTCTAGATGAAAACAACATTACTAGCTTTGAAGCTCTGCTCAAGGTCTGCGAGATCACTAAGGCAATGAAAATACATGGCTCCAGATGCCTTTGCAGTTGATTTCTAAGCACACCTGGAAGCATGCAATGCTTTGCTATGACTGAATGCACACCTAGACGTTTAGCAGCATTTACACGAGCAAACATTTTCTGCATCCTGGGACTATTTAGCCTGGTTTTACGCAGCTAAATGCATGTAAATGCGGCTAAACCAAGGAACATCTAAACATAAAAATAAAATATCTGGGAAGCATAGAAATTGTTTATACTTCTCAGGTGATTTCTTCTGTGTTTAACACAGGCAGCCTATGTGCATGAGGCCTTAAGTCAGGGGTGTAAAACTCAATTTCATCGCGGGCTGCATCAGCATTATGGTTGCCCTCAAAGGGCCAATTGTATCTGTAAGACTATATAAATGTATTAACTTTTTTCATATGAAATAATTGCCTCTGCATTCGATTATTACTGGTTTTAGTAATAACTCAAGTAATAACACGAAGCTGTGGCTGGATCCTTCGGCAGCTTTGTGAAGAACCCTCTATGTGTCATGTAATGAGGATTGTTGAAGTTATGGGATTTACAAAGTAGGCCTGTGTGAGACACTTAAACTGTAGCTGCCTACGGCACCCTCCCTCATGATTATTACATTGTATCATTGCCGGCTGCAAGGATTAGGCTGGGTTCACACCTGAGCGTATTTTTTCTGCTCGTTTTTCAGCTTGTGTTTTTCGCGTTTTTTAGCAAGTTTTTCCGTTCAGTTAAACGTGCGCTTCACTGGCGGTATGATTTTTTTTTTTCCTTATTTTCTCCATTTAAAAAAAAAAAATTCACTTTCGAACTTCCCGCCGGCTTTGCCCCCTCGCAAAGGACGGAACCCGGAAGTCGGCAGCCGCCAGAGGACACAGCGGGGATCGCGGACAAGGTAAGAGGTGTACGCTGTATTCCCGAGTGTGGCTTCGTTAACCCCGATCCACATTCGGGAATAGCAAAGGAAACGCGCGGAAAAACGCCCCAAAGAAGCTCCTGTACTTCTTTGGGCGTAGGGCATTTTCCGCGCTGAAATACGCCCAGGTGGGAACCATGCCCATAGGCAATTATTGGTTTTCACATGTTGAGCGTTTTACAGAGCGTAGGAACGCGCTGTAAAACGCCCAGGTGTGAACCAGGCCTTAGAGGATGAGAGCCTAGGGAGAGACTGACAGGTGCTGAGTATAAGCTTGTAAGCTTTGAAGAAATGGGCTCTGGTGTGTGAAATGCAGATTTCTTCCCATAAGGTTAACGTGAGCTACCTGGTCCAAATTCAGCTAAACCTACCAGGTAAAAGAAGATGCTGTTTAACTTTTTGGTGGCTTGTATCTTCAAACTTCACTGTGTTGCTGATCTCTAGCCACTGCAGGTATCCGACACTTCCAGGTGTATCAAATACCTGCTCCCCCACCGTGGTTCCTGGAGTGACGTCCTATAGTTGGCGGGTACAATTGCATTGTCGTCTCCAACATGATTGCAAGAGTGAAAAAAGCTTTAGATCCTAGGTTCTAAACTCCCACTGTTGCAACAGTGAGGTGAAAATAAACCATGAGCAAATGGTTAATTTTGGGATATTCAATTGCTTCCAATGTTTCATCTTGTAGTTCATAAAACAGTTCAAATTGTATTCTTTCAGTGTATTAAATATTTCTTGTAGATTTTGATGGCTGCTGCTTTCAATGTTCTAGAAAATGTAAAGCATTTGCTAGTGAAAATGATAATAATTGATACAGTAAATTACATTTTAATTTATCATCTAAATGTTTGCAGAGTTTCAGTAAGGTAATTTGTTTTGTTCTCTTTCAGTATATTTGGTGCTGTTCGGACTGGTGCTTACATGGTATACATTTTGATGACCAAAGGCCTCAAGCAGTCAGTTTGTGACCAGAGCTTTTATTATGGGCCAGTCAGCAAATTCTGGGCATATGCATTTGTGCTCAGCAAAGCACCAGAGCTGGGTAAGTAACTTTCATCCTGAAATGAAAAGAACCCGTGTTTGCTTTGAATTGCTGAAAACAGGTTTTTAATTTAACAGTAGATGGCTCGGTCCAAGGGATGGGCTGTGTGGAATATTTTTATCTTTCTTATGCTTTGAATGGCTTATGTTCAAGCGGCTGTCTGAGGGGGAAAAAAACAATATGCTGCACAAAATGTTCTGCTATACAAATTGATGTGTTATCAGATAGCGAGGAACAACTTTCTGGTGTGCTTTTTTGAATAATGGGCTATACAAGACAGCCTCAGTCTTGGTAAAGTATCATTTTTGCTTTAATGTAAAACTTTTTTTTATTCTGACATCTTCTAGTATGCTTAGTAAAAACCTGCAAGGAACAAATGCAGATATACAGTGCAGTACCCAGAGCAGCCACTCAGAATTAATGCTGTAAATATATGAATTCAATAAAGTGGTCTAATTGGTTGCAATAGGTTACTTGTATTTTGCACTAAGCAACATGCACCCTTTATTTCAAGTGGAAGTAAAGGGACCAAAAAAAAAACAGGAGCTTTTATCCATAATGTACTAGTATGCACAACATATTAGCACATTACTGTATTCTGCACTGCGCTCCTCCTACTACGACGCTTCCATCTTCGGCTCAGTCCTCTTCCGAGTTTCTAGTCTTCGGCTGCATGACATAACTCCTGCGCATACACATAGGATTTACCTAATCTCTGCATGCCCATTCTGTGTGCTGAGCTGCACATGTGGGACTTAGCTTACAGAAATAAGAAAAATTGCCAAATGGTAGAAAGAAGCTTTAATGGCAGAAATAGAAGCTATTCTGCCATAAAAAGCCCACCTATCGGCATTTTCAAAAACTTATTTAACCACTTTCGGGCCGCAATACGTCTATAGACGGCGACCCACAGAAGTGGTTAAAACAAGAACACGGCTGCTCCAGCAGCCGTGTTCTTGGTATCGTTTTTAACAGCCGGTGATGACTGTTAATGTACAAGCGATCCGTCGTCTATACAGCTGCCGGATCGTTTGTATTGAGCACCACTGTCATCCCAAATGATGAGCGGTAAAAGCATTTAAAGTGTTCCCTATAAGAAATTTTGTGTATTAAAGTTCTTTGCGGCTTCACGGGCGAACACAATTTTAAGGCTTGACATGTTTGGTATCTAATTACCTGGTGTGACCCAATCTTTTATATTTTACAAAAAAATTGGGTATTATATTCTGTTTCTATGCACTAAATTTTTATTTAGTTTATCCTAAAAATATTGGTTTGATAAACATTTGCGCAAATACCGTGCAAAATTGCAACTAGCATTTTTTTATTCTACAAGGCCTCTGCTTTCAGAAAATATATCATTGGGGTCCGGAGCTGTTTTCTAGCCCAAAATCTATCATGTGTGTGCAAATAGTAAGAAATAGCTCCGGACAGCAAGTGGTTAACTTTTAATGCCAATACCCTTCAGATTTTTTGATCAGAGCACTCCCATTATCATTATTTTAATTTACTCATTCATACAGTAAGCCAAATACAGCAATGCTCGAGAATACATTGAAACATTTACAACGGTCTCTTCTTTTAAAGACATTTATGACTACATGTCTTTACCATAGCTATAAACACATATCCCAAGGAATTTGTAAGGACTGCAGCTTTTCTCCAAGTTTAAAATGTATTTCCACGTTTACAGATGAATTTGAGAAAAACTCTCTATATGTTTGCTCTGTATTCTCATTCATATAGCATATTTAAAAATATATTTTTTTAGAGAAAACTCTGTCTGTCCCTAAGACTAGGGAAGCTCATTAACATCATCTCATTAACATAAAATGTTTCTTCGAGAGGACGCTAGTTTGTGTCCTCCCATTACCCTTAAGAGAACTATGGGGAAAAGCCCTAACCCCATAGTTCTCCTTTAAAGTTTTTTTTAAATATTTTATTTTTATTTATTTACTTTTATTAAGTATTTATTTATTTTTAACTTTACTGTTGGGGCTTCGGGGAAATATTTGGGGTCTAAACAGCCCCCTAAACATTTCCCTTTTAAAATAGAAAAATATATTCAGAACATATCTGTTCTAAATGAACAGGAATCCTCTATACTGAGTGTTCCTGTTCATTCATAACTTGTGGAGATAGAGTGTTTACTATCACTGATTGCTGAGTGCTTGTACCCGCTCTCCATCCTGGATCGGCTGTCACAGGAGGCTGAGCGAGCAGTGCTGGGAGGAGAGCTCGGTCTCCTCTGACAGGTGACTCCTCACCCGCACCGCCGGCCTGGCCTCCTGTGGCAGCTGATAGCTGTCTCCACCCCCACATCGCCGCTCTCCCGATCTGTCACAGGAGGCTGAGCGGGGCGGGAGGAGAGCTCAGCCTCCTGTGACAGTTTCTCTCCTCCCCGCTGGGACGCAGAGCAGCGCCCAGCAGGGAGAAGGGAAACCAGGGGTAATAGTTTTTAATGCTGAACACTGAAAAATGGCCTGGCCAGGTAGAGGATCTAAACACCTGGTCTTGAAGTGGTTAAAACCATAATCCAGTTCATTTGAATTGCTCCACCAGCCCCCCATCTGTCAGGGCACTGGCAGGTTGCAATGAAGGGATTTAGGAGTCTTCTATGCCTCTGCCTCCCTCCCCTTTTGATATGTGACACATGGGCCTGGGTGGAGGGATGACATGCCTTTGCCATTCAGAGATTGTAGAGGGTGATCTAAGGACATGATTTTGAGCAATATAATGGGTGACATAACAGATATATTTTGTTGCTGTAAAAGCAAACACTGAGTGGATCATAATAACAATGTCACGGTGCATTTATCATAAGACATAATGAGTGAGTCAGCAGTATAGCACATTGTACCACACTGTATTATACCATATTGGCAGGGCACAAAGCCTGTCTTAATGAAACGTCTTTGAGCTGTTTATTAGCTCATTGTATTTAGAAGGCAAATGCAGTGTAAACAAAATATTTTCATACATTAATACATGCATTATCACTAATATTATTATTGTTGTTACTATTATTTAAAGTGTAACTAAACCCTTTGTGTAAAAACACATGTACAAGTGTATATTTAAAGACTAACGCTCACTATCTATGGAATGAAGAAGATAATGCAAATGATATGGATTTTTGTGACTTTTATTTAGTTACTCTACGAATAATCTCTGAAGCTGGTGGGTGGTTTGCATATGTCCAGATTAGCCGATCTTCTATACTGGATTTCTGATAAATTGTATGTACTCACCAGTACAGTGGCTGCCCTTTCCATTGACCACCAAAGGCAAAAATCTACCCAGGGATTGAGATGCTGAACAGAATTCAGTGTCTGATGACTCACAGGGGTCAGTGATCTAAACTTCCCTGGAGCATGAAGAGTTCCTGGTGTAGAGTTGTAGTTTTCCAATGTATAACATACAATGTATTATTTCATACTGGGATATGCAGTCCACTAGTAGGGTACGTTTTGAAAAGTGTGCGCCAAAAGCCAAAACATTTTCTTTTTTTTTTTTATTTTGTATAGAGTAGGGAATGGTAAAGGACTTATGCACATGGCATATTCAGGAGCAAATACAGGTGTATTTATATACAATGCAAAAAACAATGCAAGAAAACTCTGTACCCAGGTGAATGGCGGTAAGTTTACACCTATGTCTGTAGCACGTTTACAGGCGTAAACCCAGGTACAGCTTTTTCTGTCCATACATCCCTGCTGTCTCCCATCAGGGAAGTTTCCTTTCACTTTCTGTACCATAGAAACAATTGGAAGTAAGAGGCAACAGATGTCACCTTTGAAAGATTACCTCTTTCCTTCTGTTGCTGTGACAAGTGAAGGATGACACTCATAGGAAACAGGTCGTAAACTAACATGGTGTATGGCAGAACTCTCCAGTGATATGACACAGGATTCTGGTATCAATAAAGTGGCTGGCCTATGCATTATAGGAAAATTAATTTGACTTCTAGGGGTTGGTTTACTAAAGGCAATCAAGCTGTTTGCTTTGCAGAGGAAATTTCCCTTAGCTTTCCCCTCCCTTTCCCGTACCTTAGTGGTGAAAATTCACTTTGCAAAAAATACCCAATCACATGCAAGGAAAATTAAAAAAAAAACAAATTTTGCTTGCACATGATTGGATGATGGAAATCGACAGAGCTTCTCCTTGTTCACTAAGCTAAATGAAAATTCCCTTGCAGTGAACAGCCTGTTTCCCTTTTAGTAAATCAACCCCTTAGTGTCTAAAAATAGAAATGTGGGAACCCCAAAATCTTTTCTCCATTGTCTATTAAGGGACGTGGGAATTCAGAAGCAATTGGGCTATATTGACACCTATAGGAGGATGGGACACTGGCAAACAGAAAAAGTTGTAAGCGAACCCCTGTATAAACTCTTCTCTATCCAGCATGCCTCGTTTTTTTTTGCTAGTGTCCTAGAAGGTTGGTTGCCTTATCTTCAGCAATACTGGAACAAAACCGCTGGGCACATTTTTAAATTTCCCAACACTGCTGTTTTTACTGTGGTAAGGGTTAAGACGGAAGGATTGAGCACTGATGTAATCCGCTAGGTGCAGTGTTGTGCTTGCACACTCTATGCCAGCAGGAAGCACAGTCCTGCTGTTCCTGTTCTTGCAGCAGCACTTTGGTTCCAGTCTTCAGCCGCATTCCATAGCCCTTCTACAGTGACTTGGTCACCTCTGCCTGTCTGAAAACCCAGCACCTGCTGTCTGGGTTTGTGAGTACTGGAGACCTTTCCTCACATTACGCCTAGTTACCTACTGGTGCTCAGTGCAACACATTTTCCCATAGACACACAGAGGATAGTCCTGCTGCCACGGTTGACCTCAGCCCATGATCCACTAGTGGTTCCGGGGGTGTTTACTTGGAACCTGGCACCCTGGTATAGGGTCGTCATCATCAAAGTCTCCTGCAGCTCCATAAGGTGGGGTCAAGGCCTCTCTCCCCATCCTCTGCAGCGGTCTAAGGTTCCGTAAATCATCAG